TATATTTATTTTTCCTCAAGAAGACACCCTAGGGTTTATTTTCAGGGGATGTGTTATTTTCCCCTCAAAGCCTCAGCTTGCAGCACGCACAGGATGGCGGGGAACTGACAGGGGGAGCCGACCTTGTTGGTGGGGCTGCCCGCACCTTTCTGGTCACCTCTGGGATAGTAACTGTCACGATGGGGCAGATAAGAAGGGCTTCTCCTCTTCTTTACCACTCGGCGACAAAATGCATGGATTGTGCGGATATGCTGCGTAGCCATGCCCATCACTAGGTCTTATTTTCGGGGTAGGGCTTATATTGCACAAATGCTTAGAAATCCTGCTAGGGCTTATTTTATGGGTAGGTCTTATTTTCAGGGAAACATGGTAGCTGATGGTTTTGTTATTTTTGACAACATCCTGATTCATAAATTATTCTATAGTCTGATCCAATTAAATCTGGGGCCCCTTTAAAGGACTAGTGCATGTGCTCAATCTTTGACACCTCTCTGAGCACAGTAGGGCTCTCCTGAGCTGCCTCTTTCCCTGGCTCTGTTAAAAGTGTATCTGGTCTACAATTTCTCTCATTGCTTTCAGTCTCCTCTTAATTGTTGATTTCCAAAATATCCATTGTTTTTGACAATGTGCTTAAGCTTGAACGCCTCCATGCTCTGTTCTGCATAACGTTGGTCCCCCTGGGAAGAGCTACAGAGCGCTGCATTGTTCTGACCCACTCTCCCCCTTGCAGAACCTCTGCACCACTGCTCTGGTTCTGGGGGAGGGACGGTGGGTCCCTTCTCTCAGAATAACACCCCTGCTCAACTGCACGGCGCTGGCAGGGAGGGGCCCCTGGTCTCAGCTTGCCTCTCCTGGCATGGAACTGCTGTCAAATGAATGAGCTGGAGTGAGGGTAATTGGCACCTAGGACTCTTGGGCTGCCACACTTGGGGTACGGCTTCTGCCCTATGAGTGGGTGCTCATAGGCATAGGAAAAGAGCCATGGATCTCTTGGTCACACAGTCCTGGAATAGAGCCTCTACAACACAGAGCTGGGGAGAGAGGAGAGATGCCAGCAGTCTTCTCCTCCCAGGGAGGATTCCTAGCCCAGGGTCAGGAGCTGAGAGAGGAGAGAAGCCATTTCTTGACCAAATCCACCTGGAGCCAAGCTTCATGAGGGACAAGAGGAGATCATGGATCAGTGCCACAGACTCTCGTTCTTCTTACCAACATTTAGTAAAAGTTTTAAATAAATGTTTTTCCATTTGTTGTATGCCCTTAGGAAAATTTCTGGAGACTTTAAACGGCTGTTTCTTTTTAACAATTTTCATTAATCATGGTTGTTTTTCTTGGGAGAGAGCCTGCAGAGCCCCTCGGGCCACCTCTCCAGAAGTGCCCCTCCAGTGGGTGCTGACTTGGGGATGGTTGTTAGGTGGCACTGTTGTGGCAATAGCTAACTATCACAAGAGGCCTACCTCCTTCTCCATTGTTTACTCTGTGCTACCCATGGAGTATATATTGTTTTTAATCCCCACTGTATACACAACAAAAGTGAAGCTCAGAGAAATTGAGCTTCCTCTCACCATCAAAGAGCTACTAAAGTACAGTGGTGAGACATGAACAAGAACACATTTAAGTACACGGCCCACTGAGAGAGCCATATTCACATGTTAGTGTATCTGCATTTATATTTCACTTGATGAGAGTCACCTCCATCCCAAATTTTAAGTATTTTTTAAAACATACTATTTGGGGTTATAATAGTAACATAGTATTTGGGGTTATAATAGTAAAGTAATTAAGATTTATCAATCACAGGCTGGGCATGGTGGCTCACGCCTGTAGCATTTGGGGAGGCTGAGGTGGGAGGATCACGCGAGGCCAGGAGTTCAAGGGTGCAGTGAGCTGTGATCAGGCCACTGCACTCCAGCCTGGGTGACAGAGTGAGACCTCATCTCTCAAAAAAAAGAAATGATTTTTTCTGTATTTAATGGGTAAAAGAGAGGCTTCTAGGTGTACCTAATAAAATATGCGTACTCCAGGGCATAATCTTTCACTCTTGTCAGATTTGGAGGGAAAATGGGGTCTGCAGGATGTTTTCCTGTCTGAGCTTCCTCTTCATGACTGAGAATGCAGTGCACAAGGAAACACACCCTGGTGCATGGGGTGGAAGGGGTAGACTGGAAGAGCTCCGAGCTCCCCTTCTGCTCCTAAGCTCCAAGGTTCTATGAACCCGGAGTCAGTGACCTTCCTCCCAGGACCCGACCTTTCCAGCATCAACTCTGGCCAACTCCACTGCCAGTATCTGACCTCGGTGCCTCAGGGCTCTTTCCAGAACTCACCTGTGCAGCAGGCCAGACTTGCTGGGGAATTAACACTCAACCAAAGACTGACGGAGCTGGTAAGTAAACACCCAGCTCCCTCCTACCTCAGGCTCCAAGCCCAGGGAACCCAAACCCAGGCAGGTGACTCCGGCTGAGACGCAGAGGAAACTGGAATGAGCAGAGAGCAGGAGCTGTGCGGGACGGAGGGCAGGCCCTGCAGGGCACACCCTGGGCTCGGCGTCGAGGGAAGAGGGCAGAGGACTAAGAGCTTCAGGGGTCAGCAAGGACTAGGGGGAGGAAAGGGGTCAAGTGAATCAGAGGGAAGAGCAAGGACTCAGCAGAGGCTGCTCACACAGAGCCGCAGGGTCTCGGGGCTGCCTCTCTGGCCCCAGGCCACCAGGTCTGCAGCTCTCGCTAACATGGCGTTCCAAAATACAGAGCTCTTTCTGTCCATGACCTAATTATGGCAACTTCCTCACCACACTCCTACAAGGCAGGCCATGGATGTAGCCAAGAAGGTTGAAACTGGGGGCACATCATGACCTCTCACCAGTGACAAGGAACTTGCACACAGAATGAAGCCTTGGAGCAGTGGCAACCTCACGCCAGCCCAGCCCTGGCTCTCCAGAGAGGAAGGGTCCAGAGGAGGAGGGCCAGGTCAGCGCCCGCCATGCTCATGCCAATCTTCAGCAGCAAGTACCCACAGAGTAATGCTGGAGTCCGGGCCCACCATGTCCAAGCCAGACGCACTGATGGGGGGACTCCAGGCTCAGTTGCATTACATGACACCTTCCTGCCTCCCCACGTTACACCTCCTCCAAAGCTTGTCCCTATCCCAACAATCTCCCTCCAGTGTGCTAGTGAGGAGTACTGGCCTGGAGCCCGACAACTAGGTTAGGATCCTGGCTTATGAGAATGACTTCAGGCAAGTTATTTATGTCTTTGTGCCTCAGTTTCCTCATCTGGAACATGAAGAAAATAATATTGGCCTAAAGAATTAATTTAAATAATATGTGTACAAAGTCAAGAAACCTGGCAGATACTATCTCAAACAAGCAATCAAAAGTTAACATCACCAATAATGAGACAAACTGGCACCAAGGGACTCTAGATAAGACACACTGAGAAGAACACAACGTGACTTCCGTGGTATTACTACCAAAAATACATGACCTGCATTGAATTGTGAAAAACCACCAGGCAAGCCCAAACTGAGAGGATACTCTACAAAGTAACTGGCTCGTACTCTTCAGCAAGATCATGACATACAAAGAAAGTCCAAAGAACTATTCTAGATCGTAGACAATTAAATGCAGTGCATGAGCCAGGATTGTCTCCTGGGCCAGAAAGGAAAAGGGTAAAGGAAAGAACAGTTTGGTTTGGTTTGGTTTGGTTTGGTTTTTGCTCTAAAGATACAACCAACCGTACAATCAGTGAAACTTTGGGTGTGTGGATTGGGTGGTTGTATTACATCAGAGATACACTTCTGATTTCGATGAGGGCACTGTGGCTACGTAGGATGCTGTCTTAGTCAGAGCATTAGCAAGAAGACTAATAGTGGCTATTAAGCTATTATAAACTATTCTAACTATTATGGCTATTAAGCAATTAAAGTCTGCCTCACGCAGTTTATTATCAGAGATAGTTTTGTTGCTTAACAGTTTAGCAGACATTTGATTGATCCCTGAGGCCACTACATATTTGTAACACTCATAACATCTAAGATACTGACCTATGAGTTATTTTATCCAACAGATATTGAATTAGATCTGCATTCACCAGCCACTGTGCCAAGCACAGGGGTGCAAAGAGAGATGAAGCCCAAGCCCAGGCCACTCTGGAATGTGTCCATATAGCAGGAGAGGCTGAAGGACTCCTCACAGGTAAGGCGAGAATGACAGGAATACAAAGCAGGAAAAGGAATGTGTGCAGAAAAGGATATGAATTTCTTAAAACTAGTGGGGAGACCTGCTGTGCAGAGGCAAACCCTGCGAAATCTCTCCTTCTTGAGGTGGTATACTGCCACCTAGTGTCTGCTCAACAAATAACACCAAACATATCTCACGTCAATTCAGAAATAATGGCATGAAGCTGAAGTTTAGACATTCTATTGTGATTGAAAAATATATTAGAAACCAGTCTATACATATGCACATATACTTGTGTGTCTATAAAACACCTCTGAGGCCGGGCGCGGTGGCTCACGCCTGTAATCCTAGCACTCTGGGAGGCCGAGGCGGGCGGATTGCTCAAGGTCAGGAGTTCAAAACCAGCCTGAGCGAGACCCCGTCTCTACCATAAAAATAGAAAGAAATTAATTGGCCAACTAATATATATAATATAAAAATCAGCCGGGCATGGTGGCTTGTGCCTGTAGTCCCAGCTACTCGGGAGGCTGAGGCAGGAGGATCACTTGAGCCCAGGAGTTTGAGGTTGCTGTGAGCTAGGCTGATGCCACGGCACTCACTCTAGCCTAGGCAAGAAAGCGAGACTCTGTCTCAAAAAAAAAAAAAAAAAAAAAAAAAAAAAAAAAAAAAAAAAACACCTCTGGGTAATATAAATAAACTGTCAACAATAGTCGCCTCCAAGAAGGGGAACTGGGTAGCTGAGAAAACCATCATATTATTTTGTACCTCTTATATTTTGAGCCAGACATTATCTTGCTATTTGAAAACAAACAAACAAACAAAAAAAACTTTAAAAATAAAAAATCCATTTATTAAGTTTTTCTGCCAGGTTGACATGGGGCCATTCACTGACGCATGCTCTTAATACCTATTGAAGCTGACTCAGTGCTGGGCCCTGTCTGGAGGAGTGGGGTGCAGAGAACAGGTGCATTCCTGCCTCCTGGAGTTTAGCCACTACTGAGAGGATGGTCTTTGGCACGTGTTGAAGGTAGCAGAGCCCTCCACCTGGGTCCTGGGCCAACTGACCACGTGGAACAGACACCCACTCCACCTCTCCGGCCTTGGGTCAGTACCATGGGGAGTGTCGACGGAAAAGAACCCAAACTCTGTAAAATAATTTAAAGAGGTTACAGTTTGGTCTTATACATTTCAGGGAGACAGGAACTACACATAAAGTCATAAATCAATACATGGAAGGTGTACATTGGTTTGGCTCAAAAAGGCAGGACATCTCAAATCAAGGGCTTACAGCTTATAGGTGGGTTTAAAGGTTCTTTGATTTGTATTAGTTAAAGAAATGTAGCTTTGTCTAAAGGCTTGGAATGTTTTAAGTTAAGATAAAGAAGTCTGTTAATCAGAGAGAAGCCACCAGACATATACCCAGACTCGAGTGATCTGTTAAGTAAATTGATGACCTACAGCTATGGTTTAACTTTTGCCTTACATTGGCAGTCCCCCAAACCCCAGGCCGTGGACCCGTACCGGTCCGTGGCCTGTTAGGAACCAGGATGCACAGCAGGCGATGAGCCGCTGGGCCAGCCAAGCCCAGCTTCACCTGTATTTACAGCCACTCCCACCCACTCCACCTCCTGTCAGATCAGCGGTGACATTAGGTTCTCATAGGGTTCCAGTAGGTGGAACCCTACTGTAAGCTGCACATGTGAGGGACCTAGGTTGTTTGCTCCCTTTGAGAATCTGACGCCTGATGATCTGGGGTGGAGCTGAGGCGGTGATGCCAGCGCTGGGGAGCGTCTGCAAATACAGATTATCATTAGCAGAGAGGTTTGACCGCACAATAAATGTAATGCACTTGAATCATCCCTAAACCATCCCTCCACCCCCAGTCTAGGGAAAAATTGTATTCCATGAAACTGGTCCCTGGTGCCAGAAAGGTTGGGGACACTGCCTTACATGACCTTAGGCTTGTTAATGATTTTGTACCTTATTGTTACACAGAATAACTCTAAAAGGGAGGGGGCATAACTAGGTGTGTCTGACCTCCCTTCTCCTCATGGCTGAAACTCAGTTTTAAGGTTTTTCTGGGGTCCCCTGGGCCAAGAGGGGGTCCATTTACTCTATTGGGAGACTTAAGATTTTATCTTACTTTACAGGAGCAATCACCTTGTATATGCTTCAGACCTGTGTTGGGGTCTGTTTTGGCACTTTAGCTTTATCCTAATTAGATAATTAGACCACAAGTGTGATCTAATGGACTTTTTATTCACCCAAGAGCTGATGTACACACATTCTCCTCCAGCACCATGAAAAATTTTTAAAAAGTAGTCACACAAAGGTCTATAAAGCTGGTCTCAACAACTTTCAAAGAGTGGATATCACAGAGATTACATTCCCTGACCACACAATCAAGTGAGAATTCACTGATTAAAAGATTAATTTAAAAATTAACTCAAAAATTTGAAATCACATTTCTAAATAATACATGGGAAAGAAAGATATGATTATAATGGAATTTAGAGGATTTTCAAACTGACAATTACAAAAATACAATATAGCAAAATTTGTGGGATAGAGCTAAAGTATTTAGGGGAAATTTTTAAAGTTTTAAATGCATTTCTTAGAAGATAGGCTGGAAGGAAATAAGGTAAGTGTTCATCTTAACCTAGCAAAATTGAAAAACAGAATACACCCTAAGTACAAAGAAGTAAATAATAAAGATGAAAGAAATTAAAAAATATAAAACAAAGATATCACAGAGGAGTTCAACAAAGCCAAAAGTTAGATCTTGGGGAGGAAAAGTAGCAAAACTTACACATTTCTGGAAATATTGACCAAGAAGAAAAAGAGAGGGGGCACACAGTCCTAGGGATATAAAAATGGAGGGCTAGAGTTATCTAGAATCAGTATTCAGAGGAGTGGCACTAAAGTGAGGCACACTGACTGCTTCAGAGGAGCCTGGAGGTAGAGAGGGAGCACCTGTCATTGTCTCCCCAGCCCCTGCTCCACCTCATCCCTCTTCCGTCAGGTGGAGAGCGAGGGAAGGAGCCCTGTGTTCCTGGCTGTTTAAGCACCAGAGATAGGCAGTGCCCTTTACAAGATCTCGAGGCCAAAACAGAGGCAGCAAGCTACTAGGCAGTTAGAGGGAGGGGATAGGGATGCGCAGGGGAGGGGAGGGCTGTAAAATAACCCAGTTTGAATAAAGTGAGATTTTTTTATGTATGATTTGATTTTGATAAGGAAGTTCTCAGATCAGGGGCCTTCAGCAACCAAGTTCACAAGAAAATGATATCAAGAGAGATCCAACAAAAACTATGAGCAAAAAATAATAATTATTATTATTTTTTATAGAGAAGAAATAGTTTGAAGGTCACTTAATTAGTTTAGTAGCTAGTTTAGCTACTAGTTTAGTTTAGTAGCTAGTACCATGGTGTACAGAATTGGGTAGTTAAGACAGGTAGTTAAGTTTCAAGGTTAATGAGATTAGATCATAGTTAAAAAAATGACATAAATTTAGAGAATTTAACCATTATTTGAAATGGGTTATTTAATAAAAATGGTAATTAAGAAGGCAAGAAAAGAGGGCACAAATAAATAGTTATTACCAGTGAAATGGAGGCTATGAGTACAAATACTGAGAAGATAAGACATGAATAATGTTATACCAATAAAGTTGGAAACTTAGGTGAAATGTGAAAATTCTTAGAAAGATACCAAAACTTTCCAAAAAATAAATAGAAAACTTGAATAATTAAGATGTTTAGACATAGAAAACAGGCATATGCCATTAAATATTCAAGGAATAGAAAATTTAAAACGTACATAAACACTTTTAGAAGATTTGAAAACAGAAAAATCTTCAACTCATTTTATAAGGCTGATGTAATCATGATAGTATATTCAAACAAGTATAAGAAAGAAATTCAGAAGCCAATCTCTTTCATGAACATATTAATAGAAGCAAAGAGCCTAAATGCAATGTTAGTAAATCAAATCCAGCAATGTATCAAAAACATGCTTTCTACTGGGAGCGCAGGAATGATTCAAAATTAGAATGTAATTTATCACGTTAACAAATTGATGAAGAAAAATCAAATGATCACCTTTAGATGAAGGAAATGCACAAAATAAAATTCAACATTGATTAATGATTTTTTAAAAATTCAAACGAGAAATAGAAGAAAATTTTCTTAATCTGGTAAAGGGCAATATATTTAGTGGTAAAATGTTAAAGGACTCCATGAAGGGGAGGTCAGCAAATCAACGGCTGCTTGAGGAATGAAACCAGACGACTCATTCACATCAGCCTCTCCTGCCTTGGACATTCAACCAATCACCCAGGACATTTTGACCTGTGTTATAGCTGCACTTATTATCCCAACTAGGTTGTCACTATGGTGCAAGGTGTTTTCTGTTGGACAGTCCATCAGGAAGCCAAGAGAGATCACATAATAGCCAATGTGGCAGGAAGAAATAACAAAAGCCAACTTCTCGTGGGGGAGGGTAAGGTTTCCCTCACATTCTTTCATGTGAGTACAAGATTTTAGAAAATGGAAAGTTAGACATGAGCAAAGAGGGTCCGACTTTTCTGGGGAGTTAAAGAAAATTTTGTCAGGAAGGCAATAATTTGTGATTATGGACTTCAGGGAACCAGAGGAAGAAATCAGACAGGTGACTAAGAGGTTTTATTTGGTATTATTATCAAAATGACCTATGAGTGATGGGTGGCATATGTTGAATTCTCCCAAAACAAATTTTGAAAAAAGATTTAAGTGCAAGTAGTTTATCTGGAAGGTAACCCCAGGAAATGCCAGTAGAGGAGTGGGGATGCCAGACAAGGGGGAGAAGCAAGGGAAGAAAGCCAATGCAGGCCACCACTCTTGGAACAGTAGAAGGCAGGCTTAGCAGGACTAACTCCATTTTGCTTCTGACCCCAGCAGCAATATCCCTTAGGTTCAAAGCTTCTGCTTAGCTCTGCATGTAGGCCAGCTAATTATAGGAGGAATTTAGTCTGTAGTTCAATTTTAAAGGAAAAATGATAAAGATCCCTTTCCCAAAACTAAGGCAATAAGGAAATATGCGCACAAGTAACAAAGCTATGTTAAAGATTTGTAAGAACATCGCGACCTAACCTATGTCATCCAAAGTTAACTGATCAAGAACAAAGAAGTTCCTGGTCAACCTCCTGGACTCTCACTGACACCAGATGTCTGTGGTCATAGGTCACCTCTTACAACCCACTCCACCCCCACTTTTTTTAACATAAAAATAGTCTAAAGTTCATACTAACTTAAGATGATTCTTTGGGATTAGTCCGCCATCTTCTCGATTTTCTGACTTTATGAATAAAATTGTTTTCTTTGCCCCAACACCTTGTCTCTCAACTTACTGGCTATTGTGTGGTGAGTGGTACAAGCTTGGACTTGGTTACACTCTGGACAATTGGGCCCAATGCCACCTAGACATGCCAGGGAGTTGTCCTGTCTGAGGGGCAAGGAAGCTAGGATCTTTGTTCCTTTCACTGGCCGAGGGCTGCTTCCAGGAGCACTATCTCCCGGCACTTCCTCTGGCCAAAAGAGAGCCCTGGTGTGGAGAATCACAGGCACTTGCAGTGGGACAGATGTGGGCAGGGAGGGAACAGGTAGCACTTGCTACCAAGGGCACCGTGGAGCCCATGTTATGCTGCTTCATCTAACACACAGGTTGGCAGCTGTCCTTCTGGATTGGTGTGAGTAGCTGGGGACATCTGAGCAAGTACCCACACAAAAATAGTGGGTTTCCTCCACTATTAGTCACATTGGGTAAACTGAGGCAGCTTACTAACTCATCCACCCCTTTTAAAACTTTCTCATCCCTCAAGTCAGTGCCAGTCATTCCTCCTGCCGTCAGAACACTTGCCCACCTTTCCTGTTATAGTCTATATCTCAGTTATCTGTCCCATCTTCTGCATTACCCAGGCAGGTGCCAACTGACTTCCATCATCTTCCTGCAGGATTGAGTTGCTTCTTCTAGGTGATGAGTAAAAACTTCAGAAACGCCATATAACTAATCCATCTATTTCTTCAATAAACATTTTGAATACTGTCTTAATTTGGGTTTCCCAATGGCAGTGTGAGACGAGAGCTTAGATATTGGTAGTTTATTTGGGAGGTGATCTCCTGAAGCAGGGGTGACAGAGGAGGTCAAGGAAGAAGGGAAAGCCAACCCAAGGCGGGGGACATTACCAAGCCGGTTACCACTGTGGGCAACCGAGGCTCAATCCTACTCCTCTGGGGATGGAAGGCATTTATCCCCAATTAGTTAAAGGTTGCTGTGAAGCAGGTTCACTGTGCACTGGTTACCAACTCGTCTGTGTCTGGCGAGACAGAGCACCTTCATACTCAACAAGTTACACGAAATAGATTTATTACTTACAGACAGGTAGCAAGGGACAACAGATTCACTGTGAGCTGGTTCCCCAAGGCTTAGGAAAGCTGCTTGGGCCAGATGGAGTCTCAACTGTGCATTCCCCACTTGCCCCGAAGATAAGGGCCACCAGAAAGCATCACACCCTGGGTTTTATACCCTCAGGTTATGCAACTCACTGTGCTAAAGTGTCTAATGACATCCTGCTTTTAGTGGGGGACTGGAACAGAGCCTGGACTGTTCTAGCTAGCTCCCCCTTATCTAAAGATATTGCATTCCTAGCACATTCCACAGTTATTCTTGAGAACTATATGGAAGAAAAGGGACTAGGTCAGTCCAAACCACCTGGAGACCTACCCTACATGTACCCGAGGCAAATCAAATTTCTATGAATTTCCACACTGTGCTGGTTCCCAGGGCTTCCAGAGAAAGTTCTAAGTAAGCCATAACTAGGATAGCAATGAGCTGCTCAAGGTGGCATCATTCTTGGAAACTTTCCACCACAACAGGAGAGCTGACATTAGAGGTGGGCGGAGGGGATATGGCTGCCTACCATGTGCCAGGCAAAGTATTAGATGCTGGGCACACAACAGTGATCAGGAAAGACCACTTCTTTCTGTTTGTGGAGCTTACATTTGAGTAGCAGAACAAAGAATATTCCAATAAACAAGTCAACAAATAAATAATGATAGGTATGATGAGTGCTATGAAGAAAATAACATAAAGGGTGACAGAATAGAAAATGACTGGGGGAGGTCACTCTAGACAAAATGGCCTGAGGAGGTGACATTTGAGCTGAGTCTTCAAGAAAGAAATCTGCTAAGGAAAGACCTGGTGCAAGAACTTTCCAAGTAGTGAATAGCATATGCAAAAGCCCCCATCAGCAAAAAGATTTTTTTTTTTTTTTGAGACAGAGTCTCGCTTGTTGCCCAGGCTAGAGTGAGTGCCGTGGCGTCAGCCTGGCTCACAGCAACCTCAAACTTCTGGGCTCAAGCAATCCTGCTGCCTCAGCCTCCCGAGTAGCTGGGACTACAGGCATGCGCCACCATGCCCGGCTAATTTTATATATATATTAGTTGGCCAATTAATTTCTTTCTATTTATAGTAGAGACGGGGTCTCGCTCTTGCTCAGGCTGGTTTTGAACTCCTGACCTTGAGCAATCTGCCCGCCTCAGCCTCCCAGAGTGCTAGGATTACAGGCGTGAGCCACCCCGCCCGGCTAGCAAAAAGATTTTGCTTTGACAAATTCTAGAAACTCTAAGAGTAAAATATGGTGAAAAGGGAGGAAGTGGTAAGACATGTTATCAATGAGGCAGAAGGAAGCAGGGCCATCACAATTTCATGAACAGGGATCTCAAACTACAAGAAAAATGTAAATTAAAACTGTAAGATACAGTTCTGTAATAATTGGATGGCAAAAATCCAAAAGCTTGGAAATATTCCAGTGGTGAAAATGTGAGAAAACCCAGACTCTTAAACATCCTTTGCATAGAAATGTAAATTAGTACAATGGGGGCAGGGGAGGGGGATTTAGCCACGTCTCTAGCCACTTTCACTTCTAAGGATTTTTTCCTACAGATATACCTACACAAGTGCACAAAGATAATCTTTGGCATGCTGTAGCATTATTCATAACAACAAACAACTGGAGGTCCAAACGCTTAAGGTCCATCAACAAGGGCCCATATAGGCTAACTGGTGTAATGACCAAATATCAGTGGTTTGACCAGGAAAGGGAGGACGGCCTTCCACTGGTGATTCAGCAGGCGGACCCCATGGCCCTAGTTGCCAGTCCTGGTTTATGTAGGTTGTACCACATCCCATATAGTTGGCACCCATTCACTCTCAAAAGTGTCTCTCCTGACAATAAATCTACAACCACTGGACATTCAGGAACCTAGACTTCTTCCAACAACGGCTCCCCCAATACAGGCCGTCCTCTAGGACCCAGCCTGGAAAGAGCGCAGGCGCACCTCACTGGCCAGGCGCATCACGTGGGAGCACTTGCACCTCACTGGCCAGGCGCCGTCACGTGGGAGCCCTTGCACCTCACTGGCCAGGTGCCGTCACGTGGGAGCACTTGCACCTCACTGGCCAGGCGCTGTCACGTGGGAGCCCTTGCACCTCACTGGCCAGGCGCCATCACGTGGGAGCACCCGCACCTCACTGGCCAGGCGCATCACGTGGGAGCACTTGCACCTCACTGGCCAGGCGCTGTCACGTGGGAGCACCCGCACCTCACTGGCCAGGCGCATCACGTGGGAGCACTTGCACCTCACTGGCCAGGCGCATCACGTGGGAGCACCTCACTGGTCAGGCGACGATACATGAGCAGGGGAAGCTGAGAAAGGGGCTCTAGCCCTGGTGGGAAGAAAAGATGTGTTTGGGAGCATCCTGGGCAGCTCCCACCACCAGGGTCCCTAAGTAAACTGGGCCTGTATTCCAGGACTGTCAGGAGCCGGCAACCTTGGTGGCTTCTAGGAAGACATCAGAAAACAGGGCCAGGAGTGGGGAACTCTCGATCACACTGCCTACTCTGTGTGGCTGCATTTTCTATCATGTGTTGGGTGCGGTGGCTCACGCCTGTAATCCTAGCAGTCTGGGAGGCCAAGGCAGGAGGATCGCTTGAGCTCAGGAGTTCGAGACCAGCCTGAACAAGAGCGAGACCCCCATCTCTGCTAAAAATAGGAAAAAAAAAAAAAGTTAGCCAGTCAACTAAAAACAGAAACAAAAAATTAGCCGGGCATGGTGGCACATGCCTGCAGTCCCAGCTACTCGGGAGGCTGAGGCAGGAGGATCCCTTGAGCCCAGGAGTTTGAGGTTGCTGTGAGCTAGGCTGACGCCATGGCACTGTAGCTGGGGCAACAAAGCGAGACTCTGTCTAAAAAAAAAGGAATTTAGATGTGGAGGGATCCAGAAAGATTCCACAGGCCAAAGTTATGAGGTTGTGGTAACTCTCCTGCCAGACACACAGAGCGGGCTCCGCCATGGCGAGAGAAAATCAGCCGGGACGACCCGGAACCCCGCAGTGGAGGGGCCAGGGACGCCCGGGGCCCAGCCAGGCGCTGTGCGGCAGGGGGGAGGAGACCGCGCCTGGGCAGCTGGGCCCGCCCGGGTTGCGCCTGCGCGGCTCGGCCCGCGACGCCCCGCCCAGCCCGTGACGCGTGTGCTTGTGGGCGGGGCCTTGGTTCGCGGGATCCGTGGGGTCGTATACCCCGGGGCAGGCCGCGGTGGCGCCGGTCGAGTGGGAGAGCAGGGCACCGGCTTCTGTTGGCCGCCTGCTCCCCAGGGAACTGCACCCGCCTCCGTAGTGGGCAGAGGACGTCGTTCAGGGTAAGCGGCGGGCCGGGGTTCATGCGGGGGCGGCGGAGTGTGCCGGCCAGGGATAACTGCAGGTGGGCCTCCTCACGTGCAATTGCGGGTCCCCTGGAGGCGGAGGCCGGAGCGGAGGAGGATCTGGGTCCCCCAGGGTGCAGGAGCACTCAGGGTCACTCGCACTCCAAGTCTCTCCTCTTGCTGCCTTCCTGTCCTGCTCCCTTAGGCCTCCCTGGACGTCTAGACTCCGCTGACCCGTCGGGGCGAGTTCAGTGTTCTGGGCAACAGGGTGGGTCAGATAGCAGAGTCTCTACCCCTAAGGATCCCACATCCCTCCTGCGTTCATTCATTCAACCAGCATTTGCTGACCCGCCCCCCAGCTCAGTACAGGGGCAGGCACTAGCACAGGGGTAGGCCCGGCCAGTCTTGGGTCTCGCAGCCCAGCTGGGAAGCCCAGCGTAGCAATTTCTGGGAAACAGGTAAGGTCATGCTGTGCAAACAGTACTGAGCATGTGAGGACAATTAACTCTGCAACTGGTGTGGTGACCAGAGGCTCTTACAAGTGGTCAGGCTGGTTCTGAGTAAGCTGACGTGTAAGCCACCAGTGCTCCAGACTGAGGGAAGGAGAGGAGAGGCCCCGAGGTGGACACAGCTGGACACTGGACTGTCCTCAAGGGTGGAAGAGGAAGGAGAGACGGGAGGGGCCAAGGTACCATGAAAGGGAGGGGTTTTTTAAATTATTATTTTAGGTGCAGCTGAAAGTGCAAAGAGCAAAGGAATCGGCCACCCAGAAGTGCCTGGGCAGTTCTTGGTGTCACTTTAGGCACCTGTGTTTCAGTATAATGTGTACTGAGCCACACATCCTACATCGTACAGGATAAGGTGGAAGTCTCAGCCCACAGCTCCCATTGGAGAAATCTAGAACCTCTAGGAAGGAGGTTCCCTGGGAAGGGATGGATGGTGAATGTGCTCACAAGGGCTCTCCCTCCTGCCTCCTGTGGGGGAGGAGTGTGGGGGGGTGTAGTTCCCTGTTGGTGTTACCATTGTGTTGACAATGTAGTCATGTTTTGAAAAAGCTGGCAAGCATATTACGAATTCGGGAACTGTTTTTTGTCCCCCTCCCCTTGCCCTCAAAAGAGTCAGTTGACTAATATGGTGTGTGTCATCTCCCTCCTGGAGCCTCACATGAAGAACCGAGAGGGGGATACCCCTTTGCATAAAGAGTTCTGGAAGTGCCTCCCCTCCCACTGCATCCTGTGAAAGGGAAACAGTAGATGGTGGTGACAGAATGATCTGAGTGGGATTCTACCAGAAGAATGAGTGGTGGTTTGCTAATGTGCTTTATTTTTGTATACGTTTTCAAGCATGCCTGGTGGCAGTCAGTTGCAATTGTGGCCCTTTCGTTTACTTGAACTGAAAACCTGGAAGGAACTGGCCAACAGATTAGGCAACCACCAATCCAAATCAAATAGAGTTTGTATTTCCAAGAGCTGGCCTGTCTTCCCCAGCTCCTAGAAAGCTAGCCAGGGGACAGTGCAGGCTCCTGCCTCGACAGCTCTGCTGCACACTCAGATTCTCCTCTTTGACTCCTGCCCCCACCTGACAGAGGATAGTCCCCTGCAGGAGGCACACCTCTCTGCTTACCTTTGTGGTGCCCTTCTTCCTACCGCTGCCTCCCCATCAGTCCCTCGTGACTACCTTCCTTTACAGTCTTATCCTACAGTCACTCCTTTAAAGAACAGGCTACACTGAGCTTGAGTCATTTTCCGCCCTGACCTTCTCAGGGAGTACATGATTAACACATTCACACTGTGGTGGTGGTGGTGGTACCCACAGAAATGTGATTTGCCCCTCCTGCAGGTATGTGAGCTGTAGACAAACACCTTAGCCTAGAGAAATGAAATTGCTGTTTAGATTTGGGCCTCAAGAGTCATGGAAGTGGCCTAGTTCTACACTCCCGCAATATTGTGTTCCATCTGGGCTCTGTTTATACCATCCTGAACTTTTTGGTGTGTAACTTTAAAAATTATGTGTATGGAAGGTCATGTGAGTGGTGTTTGGTTGTCTTGTGTTTGTAGGGCAAGTGAAGTGATAAAGCACCTTCAACCAGGAGACTGAAGCCAGGGACTGTGGTCTACTCCACCACGTGCCGGCCGTGCAGTCTCAGGCAAGTCTATTTCCAAACATTTCTGGGGCTGTGGTGCTGTCTTATGGAAAACGAAGGCAGTGATAGTGGCCTTGTGTGGCCCTGGACACAGGAGATAGTGTATAAAGGGTATTTTTTCTAGCACTCTGAGAGGCTGAGGCGGGTGGATCGCTCAAGGTCAGGAGTTTGAAACCAACCTGAGCAAAAGCGAGACCCCATCTCCACTAAAAATAGAAAGAAATTAATTGGCCAATTTATATATATATAGAGAGAAAAAAATTAGCCGGGCATGGTGGCACATGCCTGTAGTCCCAGCTACTCGGGAGGCTGAGGCAGAAGGATCGCTTAAGCCCAGGAGATTGAGTTTGCTGTGAGTTAGGCTGACGCCATGGCACTCTAGCCTGGACAACAGAGTGAGACTCTGTCTCAAAAAGTAAAAAAGGGTATTTTTTTAAGTGGGTAGACAGATTTAACAAAGAGCAAACTTTGCCTCAATTTGATATTCCACCTGTTAATCTGATCATGTAGGATAGGGTTCCTAAACTAACATTGGACATAGGACTTTATTATGTAAAGAGAATTTTATAAAACTGTTCCAGATCCATATCGATGTGGTAACGTCAGGCTCTCCCCCAGGCCTTAAGCCACGAGACAGGCAAGGGAAGAAGCCATTCCTGGTGAATGGGACCGCTCTTCTTGTTCTGTCACAGGTGCCTGGCCTCTCCTCCCTGCCCACGGGTGGTGTATGGGAGGTGGGGGTGTATGGGAGGTGGGGGGTGTGGGAGGTGGGGGGTGTGAGAGGTGGAGGTGGGGGTGGGGGTGTATGGGAGGTGGAGTTGGGGTGTGTAGGAGGTGGGGGTGCAGAATCTGCCAGATTCACTCCCGCCCTCTGCCTCCAGGCATCGGCAGGGTTGGTGGTGCTCTTGATGCTGCAGGCACCCCTCGCTGGCCCCTCGTGGTGGTTGCCTTGCAGATGGCCCTTCCTGCATCGGGGTTGGGGGTGTTCAGTCCCAGTTGCACGCCACCTGGGTGCCCTAGGCTTGGGTCTGCCTTGCCCTTTGTGGGTTGTGCTCCAGGTCCGAGGCCGAGCAGTGGTGCCCTCTCTGGTCACCATTTCAGAATCTGCTGCCTGTGTCTCCGATGAGTCATTGGGAGTTGTTGGGGGTCGAGGCGGTAGGCAGAGGTGCCCTCTCGGTACACGGGCAGCGTGTTGCCTCATGTCACCACAGCAGTGGACCAAACAGCAAGGGCAGGCCTCGTGCTCCCCCATGGGGTGTGCACAGTCGTATGGGTGATCGAGGCCGTCGGAATTTTTAAAAAAAATTTAGATATTAATTAAATTTTTTTTAAAAATCTCTTCCAGTTATAAGTTGTTAGTATTGCTTTCGTGTCCTCACTGTTCATTTCCAGAAATAACCGCTTCAGAACTTTCTCTGTAAATACCTTTAACTAAGCATTAGTGATTACT